TGCGAAAACAAGATGAAACAACTTCTATTCAACGAAAGGAGACTGCGACCACACAGAAGGCCACACCATCTTGGTCTTCATATCTTCGAACTAAATCGGAATAGTTTCTGGGAATCAAGGCCATGTGAAATTCAATAGAACATGAGGTCTATTAATATAATTGTTGTAAAAATGGACTACCAGTCCATCGTGAACTTAAACGTAATATGGTGAATATAACTGTGATACATTTTTGAGGATTATGCCACGTATTTCAATAATAAAGGCAAAGACTAAGAGAAGCTGAGTGGAGGGACGTTTATTAATCAATTAGAAAAAAGCCCATAGGCTATGCTTGAAAAGTAACAACTTAGTAACCCTACGTCCGTTAAGCTGATGTATGGACTGAAGGAGGAGCTTGTCCAACAATGATCAATGGGCGTCATGATGACACCAAAGTTAATATAACCTTGGTTCGGTTTCAAGCCCACTCAAGTCTCATCAGCACTGCAAGATGGAATTCAAACAAGGCCTTGAGCATCGTAATGACAGGTTAGCATTCCGCTACACAGGGTGGCCAAAAAGTAAAAATAGTATCAAAAACTAATTCCACCGAATTTTAAAAACAAGTTTGTTACACCGACAATTCCGTTATAAATATATTCTGAGCGACCTGATCTGTCATATCCTACCTGTGGCCCAATGGCATGTGTCACTACGATGCTAATGACCCGATTTTTATTTCCGTTGGGGAGGCTAATGAGGCCTAGGTGGGTTATAAACATCAATATATCCTGTATGATAAAATCTTTTCAGAGGAAACGCTAAGAGAAATACAGTGACATCATGAGGCCTATTTACTATGAAGTTAAGTGAAGTTGTTGATCGTAATGGCAAAATATAAGTTTTCCATTTACAAGTACGTTATCAAGACTACCAGTAAAACTTGTAAAGGCTGTATTGACCCCATTTCGTGTAAATTAATAAAGCACTAATAGTTTTAATTTCCCATAATGGTAGAAGTAAACCTTTTTTTCCAATGAATTCCATATAGTCTTGTTTTCCAAAAGGTGCTCTCATCCAGGGTGGACTGCAGTTTCGACATCGTCTAGGCCTTATCAGCATCTCCAGCAGGGCTTGAACCCGGTTAGTGCGGGTTATAGTCCATACACGCGTTAGCGTGCCACTGCCACAAGTGGAGTTGTTGATACCGAGACGATATATAGACTGCAGTACGCACAGGATGACACACCTTTTATGAAGCAATAGTGTTGAGACCTACTCATAGGATTGGGGGAGAATTTAATTATCCGTCAATCACCTCATGCAATTCATGGAAAATATAATTAAAGATCTACCGATAACAATAAAACCTATTATGTTCCAAGTGGTTTTAAACCTTTGTCAATTTGATGCAAATTGAGAACGCGACGTGAAGAAAGATCATAAGAGGCTATGGAAAAGTTGCTGATTGGACAACACAACTGAGCTTTCAGATGTGAACGTAATTACATTTTTTAAATAAATAGCAATTCGTATTGGTCCTCAGTCATTGTTAGTAGTAGTAGTCTTTGTATTATTATAACTGAATACCCACTCACCTTGATAACGAGGAGAGCCATTGGAATCCAAATAAGTGGCATTAGTCTGTAGCAAATCCAAAGAATGGGGTGAATCAACAGCAAACAGATGGCGCCCCCTAGACCTAGGGTGGGGCCGAACATTCTGAACTCCTCTCAAGGCGAGTTGGCCGGTTGATTGCGAAGAAACCGTGGCATAAGGAATGCCTACTCCTCGGATAAATTGTGTAGGGCCAAGGTGAGAAGTTCGGTTGGTGCAATAAGGAGGAGATAGACAAGAAGGCGAAGAGGAGATAGAACCAGGAATGGAAGAAGTTAGGCTTAATGTTGTGCCAGTTATGCCTAATGAAGACATAGAGTTAGTGGTGGCGGTATTTAAAGAGCCTCGATGAGGTACTCCATTAAGGAAGCCAGATGAAGAGATAATCGAAGCATTGGGTTCCAAATCGGAACTAGAAGAGTGAATCTGAAATAAAATGGAAAAAAAGTAAAATAACCTGAGCAAACTATAAAAATCTAAGATTAAAAATTTTAGCACTCTCAGCTAGGTATAGAAGGGTATAGGAAAAATAGAAACGAAAAAGAAAATATCCAAATATTTTGAAAAAAATGGCTAGAGGATTGAGTCTACGCAGGCAAAAAGTCACAGAAAAAATGAATTGAGCTGTTAAGAACGGCAATCAAGATGAGCTTTGAGGTTATTTATAGCGCTAAAATGTGGTTCAGAATGAAAATTGTAATAAGTAAGCCAGGTCGATTAGACTCAACATAGGATGTATGTGCCCAGATAACCAGATAATAATAAAATATTGTATATTTTTTAGAAATCTGCTCCACAACCTTAAGGTAAAATGGAAAAATTGACTTGACCATGGTGCATTTAAAACATAATTCATATTTACGAGATAAGTGTTTGAATATGAGAACCCATGATGATATTTGTAGTCAAAATTTTTCTCAAAAGTAAAAGTTTCTTGGATATGAAGGTAAACTGGGTTCCTGAGGCTCCCTTAATATATTGTTGTTGGTACACCTTTATTTGCTTTAAAGGCAGATGGAAGGGACTTCAAACTTCAGAAACCGAAGTTGCGACAGTCGTGTTGAACAAAGACGACATCAGCCCACCTTACTGCTATCCCGATTAATTTAAAATGAGCCTTAGTCATGTGACAGATCGCCGAAAAGAATAATTTACGAAAAGATTAACCAAAGCATTAAACATAAAAGATAAAAGGCA